TGCACTCATCCACACAACCATAAACCTTCAGCTGCACCATCCACACACACAACCATTAACCTTCAGCTGCACTCACCACACAACCATAAACCTTCAGCTGCACTCATCCACACAACCATTAACCTTCAGCTGCACTCATCCACACAACCATTAACCTTCAGCTGCACTCATCCACACAACCATTAACTCAGCTCATCCACACAAACCATTAACCTTTCAGCTGCACTCATCCACACACAACCATTAACTTTCAGCTGCACTACATCCACACACAACCATTAACCTTCAGCTGCACTCATCCACACAACCATTAACCTTCAGCTGCACTCATCCACACAACCATTAACCTTCAGCTGCACTCATCCACACAACCATAAACCTTCAGCTGCACTCATCCACACAACCATTAACCTTCAGCTGCACTCATCTCCGGGTTTCTCCACGACGAACATTACCAAGAAAAAAAAATCATAAAAAATACAGAGTAAATTTTTTCTTGAGGAGTTTAAATTATTATTTTGTTTTATTACGAGGAAAAAACAATGATACAAAAATTATCTTCACAGTGACCAGACGTTATTCCTAGTGGTGTTCACGTTCTTGTTTATTTACGTCCTAAAATATAATAACCATTGAGGAGTCTCGAATATAATATTATATATGACCCTGTACTATAAAGTTAATGACACATAACGATGAATGTTGATCTATGTCAGCTGGGTGTAAGTTATTAGTCATTATAGTTACAAGATTAGTCATTACATAAGGAAGTTTAAGAAAAAATCCGATTTATATTAGGTTATGCGAAAACTTTTTATCCCATTTTCTCACATGAAAGGAATAACAGAAAATGGTACACAAGTGTCTGTCACAGGGTACTGTAATTTTAACACGTATGATTTTATCGCTTTATGGGCTGTTGTAATTTGTTAATAAAGTACATGAAATACAGTTATAGTTAATGTATATGATTATTTCCTCTCCAGAGTGGTTAGTTAACAGGTGAAGGGATGGTGGGGAGGGGGGACTGACCAACTCTCCCCTCTGTATCTATAACACGTCAGGGTGTTCCAGGCGATGGTTCATGATCGTTGTTTAAATTCTCATAACACTTCTCTTAAGGACCCCGGGAGTGGATCTTCAGACGCGGATTAATACACGCCCCCCACACAAACACGCACTGCCCCCCCACACAAACACACGCACCGCCCCCCCACACACACACGCCTCCCCCCCCACACACACACGTCCCCCCACACACACGCCCCCTCCCACACACGCCCCCCCACACACACACACGCACCGCCCCCCCACACACACGCCCCCCCACACACGTCCCCCCACACACACACGCCCCCCCACACACACGCCCCCCCCACACACACACACGCCCCCGACACAACAATAATGTAGACTATGACACAACAACTGACACACACTAAGATATCCATCACTGTAAGAGAGACAGTTTATTATTGGGGTCGTCCTGCCTGCCACCCTCAACAATGGCGCTCATTCATACAGGAAAAATTCTCAATCAGTCAATCTTTGATTCACTCCTCCATTCAGCCGATACAATCATGTACCTGGAGGTGATACATCATCCGTGACACGTTCAGGCTATACACACACACACTTGTGCCGCCATTAAGAGCCAAAGTCTCGCTGTTGAGTGGAGGGAAGTGAGCCATGTAGGTGAGGTACAGGAGGCAGTTATCTCCACCTGTAGATCTGAGGATTCTTGTGGTGGGTGGAGCACGCCTTCTACAGGTAAATTAAGGCCAGGCTCTTATTAAATGATAGAGGCGCCACACCGCCCGCCTCTCAACAAACACTTCCTATTTGTACAGGACACTTGACGTATTCTTCCTGGACGGAGACGGACATTGTTCTTGTATAAAATATATCTCCAGTTACGACTCCATTAAGGTTGGACGTGTGCCTTCTGTGCCCAGTTGTTCGCGTGGTCTAGTTGTTGAAGGTGTATTGTGGTGTTGTGCCGCTGACAACATGTTTTAATAACGTCATGGCGTTTTTTGTAACTATTATTAAAAGGTTTTGTGTTGGTGACGTTATTACTGAGCTTTATCAACTACGGTAACAGGTTAGTAACTACTACACTTGTCTATTAGTAATTACGAAAGGTAGAATTGTTTGTACTGAGTAACTATAGTGGTGAAGCTTTTGAAAGTTAATTAGCTAAGTGAAGTTTATATACAGAGAGAGAGAGAGAGAGAGAGAGAGAGAGAGAGAGAGAGAGAGAGAGAGAGAGAGAGAGAGAGAGAGAGAGAGAGAGAGAGAGAGAGAGGCTAGCAGTGTGTCATGTATGGTTGGTCGCCTCAGCCACAACAAGGTCACCACACCTGTAATGGCTCCCGATTGGCGATAACTGTATCCTAATGAAGCCTTCCGTGGTTACGCCCTCCCCTATAATCACGTGATAACAAAATTATTTCAGAGATATCATCCCGCGGAGTGATGGCGAGATGGAGCGAGATAATTAGGTAACTGGAGGTGTCACTCTGATGTGAGAGGCGACCACTGTGTCCTGCTGTGTTGCATCGCCCACATCGCGTTATTATTCATCACGTAATTCAGAAGGTTCCTTAGGCCTACACACGATTGGCTCGATTGTCGTGACGTCATAACCATCACGTGGGGAGTAATTGGATGGGTGTACCCAGGAAGCTTGCTCATTGGCGGAAGAAACTTGGGAATCGCCATGATTGGTTACTGGTGACGTCATGCTTGAGAAGTGTCCAAGGGCGGGAAAGTATAAGGCAAGTTTCAAAAGTTTTCACTCAACGAGAAACATCAGTGAGGGAGAGCTGACATGTGGACGGTAGTTAAAAGATGTTGTTAATGGCATTGTTCTAAGTTTGTGGTGAACTATGAAGGTGAGGGAGAGAGAGGATAGGGTAGTGTAGAGTTGGGTCGGGTCACAAGAGCCAATGGTGGGCGGTAGTGTTCGCTCAGCCCGGCCAGAAAGTGGGTAAGCCTGGGCGGTGGTGCGGATGCTGGCACACAAGATGTTTGTCCAGTCCACCAGCCTCGTGGCGCGCCCTCCTCCACCCTCCACCTGCCCCTCCACTCCTTAACCTGCCCCTCCCTCCACCCCCTCCACCTGCCCTCCACCCTTAACCTGGCTCCCCTCCACTCCTGCACCTGCCCCCTCCACTCCTGAACCTGCCCCTCCACTCTTAACCTGCCCTCCACTCCTTAACCTGCCCCCTCCACCTCCTTAACCTGCCCTCTCCACCACTTAACCTGCCCTCCACCTTAACCTGCCCCTCCACTCCTTAACCTGCCTCCCCTCCACTCCTTAACCTGCCCCTCCACTCCTGAACCTGCCTCCACTCCTTAACCTGCCCCTCCACTCCCAACCTGCCTCCACTCCTTAACCTGCCCCTCCACTCCTGAACCTGCCCCTCCACCCTGAACCCTCCACTCCTGCACCTGCCTCCACCTAACCTGCCCCTCCACCCCTTAACCTGCCCTCCACTCCTGAACCTGCCCTCCACCCCTGAACCTGCCCTCCACTCCTGAACTCCGCCTCCACCTGTACCTGCCCTCCACCTCTTAACTCCTGCCCCTCCACTCCTTAACCTGCCCCTCCACTCCTTAACCTGCCCCTCCCTCCACCCTCCACCTGTCCCTCCATTCTTCCACCTGGTCTTCCTCCCAGTACTCCAGGTAAGATTGTGTCACGGGCAAGATATACCCAAGGGCAAGATTACGCCAAGGGCAAGAGACGGCCAAGGGCAAGAGACGGCCAAGGGCAAGAGACGGCCAAGGGCAAGAGACGGCCAAATAGAATAAACGATCAAACACAATAATACTCAGTTGAAAGCAATAGTCGGCCAAGAGAGACGCAGTCAACTCCAGGACTCAATCAAGGACAGAAGTCGGTCAGAGGCTAAGGACAAGTGCAGGATTCAGCCAAGGATAAGATTCGGCCAAAGGAGAAAACTCGGCCAAGTGAAAGAGTGGGCCGGGGGCAAGACGGGAGTGACCAAGGGGAGAGGAACCCACGAGGAAAAGCAAGGACCGAGATAGAGGGAGGAGGAAGGGCGGGCCCAGAGCGCCGCGCCCCCTGGGTAGTGCGGCCCACCACCACTATACTACTCCCAGTGGGGCACCGTTCTCCACTATACCTCTCACCACTAGACTCAGTACAGACACGCTGTTCCATTACTCTCCCACTACTACTGTGACTACTACAGGATACTCAGTGGGGGGTCGTCACCAGCACCACGACACTCACTAGGGGTCGTCACCAGCACCACGACACTCACTAGGGGTCGTCACCAGCACCACGACACTCACTAGGGGTCGTCACCAGCACCACGACACTCACTAGGGGTCGTCACCAGCACTACGACACTCACTAGGGGTCGTCACCAGCACCACGACACTCACTAGGGGTCGTCACCAGCACCACGACACTCACTAGGGGTCGTCACCAGCACCACGACACTCACTAGGGGTCGTCACCAGCACTACGACACTCTATACTCCTATTGCTACCTCCTGCAGTGAAGAAAGTAAACAGACGAGAAAGCAAGGGACAAGAAAGAAGAATTTAAGAAACACAAAAGGAAAATAAATAAAGGGATAGTGAATAACAGAAAGAAAAAAAAACAGTGAAAAAAAGTGAAATGATATAACATAAAAAAGTGAATGAATAAAGATGAAAAACAAAGTGAATAATAAATACAGTGAAATAAACAAACTGAAAAAAAACCCTATGAAGGAATAACAGTGAAATAATAACAGATAATAAAACAAAGGTGAAATGAAAACATGAAATAAGTGAGAGAAAAATAATATAATAAATCAGAAAATAAACAGAAAGATTAAATCGTAAGAGAAGGAGAAAAACCCTGAATAAATGGAGGAGATAGAGATAGAGCCGAGAAGAGAGGAGAAGGAGGAGGAGGAGAAGGAGTTGACGCAGAAGAAATATAGATAAAGAAAGAGAATAAAGACAAACAGAAAAAATAACAACAAAGTGAAATATAGAACAAAAATAATAGAATAATAAGTGTCAAAAAAGTGATAAAAATTGAGATAAAAAACAGCACAATAACAGAGGGAATGAAAGAGAACAGAGAGAAATATCGAATAAAAATGACAAAAAAACTGAAACACAAATAAATAGGAACTAGAAGACAAAATAACAATTGAAAAATAAGAAAATATAAATAACAGAGAGAAAGTTATGTGGACAAGAACAGAAGAGAAAGAAGTTATGGAGAACATCACTTGTTCTAGAGGATGAACAACCAACAAAATAACAATGTAAGTAGATTTAGTTGTTATAAGTAATACCTCACTATACCAGGATGTTATAAGTAATGTCTTAAGTGTATGTATGTAGTAGGTACCGTGGTTGTAAGTATATATGTAATGTTGTCTTAAGTGTATGTATGTAGTAGTACCGTGGTTGTAAGTATATAAGTAATGTCTTAAGTGTATGTATGTAGTAGGTACCGTGGTTGTAAGTATATATGTAATGTCTTGGTAAAATAAGTGTATGTCATACTTTAGTATAAGTAGTTACTTGGTGAATAATGGGTGATAGAGACGCTGTGTAAGTATGATATAAGTGACACTCTGGTATAAGTATAAGTAATGTCCTGGTGTAAGTGTGAAGTAAGTTTAACGCTACAGTAAGTAATGAGAGAGAGAGAGAGAGAGAGAGAGAGAGAGAGAGAGAGAGAGAGAGAGAGAGAGAGAGAGTTTATTTTGTTTTCATTAGTAATTTAGTTTATGTACTTTCCTGATTTTTTCTTCATTTTAACTTAACCTAAATTTACCCTAACCTAACCTAACCTAGCTTGACTTAATTTAACCTAATGTAACTTAGTGTAACCTAACCTAATTTAACTTAAACTGACCTAACTTAATTTAACTTAAGCTAATCTAACCCAACCTAACCTAACCTAACCTAACCCCCAAGGAAATGTTAGGTTGCTAAATTATCAGGTGAAATTAGCTGCTGGTGCTAGGGGGTGGTGCTGGGGGGAGGTGCTGGGGAGGTGCTGGGGTGAGGTGCTAGGGGTGGTGCTGGGGGAGGTGCTAGGGGTGGTGTTGGGGGAGTTGTTAGGGGTGGTGCTGGGGGGGGCTAATCTATTGGTGACGTAGAAAAGTTTATACAATATCCGTAACTCTGGATGTTATGGTTAGGTTAGGTTAGGTTGGGTTAGGTTGGGTTAGGTTAGGTTAGGTTACCATCGTTCTACACCCTCATTAGTCTCGTTAGCTTCTCCACTGTGTCCTGACTCCCAAACATAAGCCTCTGAGTCTCACACACCACATCCTCCGTTTAATGTCACGTCAGTTGGTCAGAATATTCGACCTGACGCACTTTACATACATACATACATACATACATACATACATACATACATATCCTCACTACTTGCTCTTGATACCCTAAACTCAGATTGTCACCCGCTCGTCCGTGAAGACTGACACAAGTATATGTGTCTTGTTAACGAGGGTGTCAGGACCAAGATGCTGTGGACCCTCTCACACAGGCATTAGTGAACATGACAGGGTTGATGCCTTAGTTAAACCCGCGTTCAACACTGACAATATTGAGTACAATCTGGGACTGTCAAACAGAACCTTAAAAACTGTAATCAGGAAAGAACTTTCTGATGAATTTGAAGCCAGTAGACAAGTGCAGACAGGCACTAGTCAATCCATTGTTTACCATGATGAGATGTATCAAGTGAAACATGTATATGGAGCAAGTAATAAGATCACTAGATTACAAGATGTTGTAACCGCTAGACTAGGGTTAGGATATAAGTACCTCTGGCAGTATGTTCCTCAAGCAGATGTGAACAAAACTAAATGTAAAGTGTGTGGCCATACATATGGCCACACACTCCAACACTACGTCTTAGACCGTGATAAAATAGAACCTTATATCCAAGCACACTGTGTATGCAATAGCACAGCACTTTATCCCTGTTGACACGAGAGCTGATATACTAAGGCTGTACCCACACTTCACATCTAGTACCTAATAAAAATTCAATGTACCGACTTAAACAAACAATGTACTGGAAATATTCTGTAACACTCTATCCTGACCACTGGAGTCTGATAAACATCCTTTGTGGCTTCTACTCTGTCATCTTTGTTGTGCTACCGCTCACAGGTTGCGTATGGGGTGTACAATAAACTAACTGCTGTCTGCGGAAAAATTCATATTCAAAATACATACATACATACATACATACATACATACATACATACAGACATACATACATACATACATACATACATACCAAGTGACAGGAGTGGAAAAGGGTCAGTGGAAAGAGAACAGGTGAATGGAAGTGAGAGCAGTAATAGGAGGAGTAATAAGCTGCCAAGTCTTAACACAACAGCCATAGGAGTTTACTATCACAAAACACTGGTAATGTAACTGTTTTTAGCGACTGTTTACAAAAAAGACAAAAATATGAAGTCATCACCGAAGAATATCTATCTTGAGATTAAATTTCAGTCTACATGTTAATACAGGTTAATAGGTTATCTAATCGCCTTAGGCCTACACTGTGTGGGCCTAGAACCGAGGTGACGGGTCTAGGGTAATAAATCAGTCAGTACTCGTCGTTATAACAAGTCTCCGCTGTCCAGGGTGTTGTCGTTGTTATTATTATTGTTTTAGTTGTTATTTTTATTAGTTGTTGTTGTTATTAGTTGTTGTTATTGTTGGCGATAATTTTCATGTTCCAGTAGATTATAAAAACTTTTGACCTGGTTGTAATAGTTTTGTATATAGAGTAGCGTGTCGCAGATCGTGTTCAGTGAGATGGTATAACAGACACCAGTGTTGTCTGCCACCCTTAACATAACTACCGCCCATTCTTCCTCAAACTTTATACACCAGTTATATTGTCTAAAAAAATATACCATTGGTTGAGTGGACTCCCGTGGCCATCATTATAATATATATATAGGGAATATTTAGCTGTATTGTAAGTCGACGATTGGTGTAAATTAGGTGAGATGACCGGACATTCAGCGATGATTCCCTTCACTGTTGACAGATACTAACACTAACGGAGGGAGTGTCCTGGCAGCAGTTGGCTCTCCAGCATCCTTGTGCTCAAATACGTCGAAGAGACATCATCATATTTTTGCTTTCCCAACGACCGAGAGACAACGCCTCCTTTAATATACACTTGGGTATTCATGCCGGGGTGAGCAGCTCGCTTCTCTACCGCGACCGCCTCTACCTCACTCTCTCTCACACAAGTTAACTGAGATGCGATAAATAAGATCACAGTGACGCTGACAACATTATCCAACACTCAAATGTAATATTATGTGAAGTAGATCATCCTCTATATTTAGGTGTTACTACTAAGACCTGTCTACTGTATACGACCTACACTTGTGAAGAGTCGCTGTAAGGAAGAACCACGGCGGGAAAATACGAGAAAAAAAAATGTGGATAACTGGAGAATATTCCTGTGGTATTATGGCGTTATAATGACCGACAGCGTAGTAGTGAGGGAATCTATGGCTTCACCTACAGTACACGCTCTTGGTGGAAGGAATTTTATCTCATCTCTTTTAAACGACCAGAAACTGTGTAATAGAGGCAGTAAGCGTTGGGCCGGAGGTGGGAGAGGCTGCTGCACGGTCTAGCAGCTGAGATAGATGATATAAACCTGAATTACGGCCAAATATGAGGTTTAGGACCCAAGGAAAAACTAAACAAAACCTAGGATTCAAATTTTTCGTTAGGATTTCTAGCAAGTTTAAGGTGTTGATTTTAAGGGTACTTGTGAGATGTGGGGAGTGTGGGGTTGTTGTGGGGGTGTGGGGTTGTTGTGGGGAGGTGTGGGGTTGTTGTGGGGTTGTGGGGTTGCTGTGGGGTGTGGGGTTGTGGGGAGGTGTGGGGTTGTTGTGGGGAGTGTGGGGTTGTTGTGGGGAGGTGTGGGGTTGTTGTGGGAGTGTGGGGTTGTTGTGGGAAGTGTGGGGTTGTTGTGGGAGGTGTGTGGGCTGTTGTGGGGTGTGGGGGGAGGTGTGGGGTTGTGGGGAGGTGTGGGGTTGTTGTGGGTGTGGGGCTGTTGTGGGAGGTGTGGGGTTGTTGTGGGAGGTGGGAGGTGGGTGTTGGGGAGTGTGGGGTTGTGGGGAGTGTGGGGGTTGTTGTGATGTGTGGGGGGAGGTGTGTGGGCTGTTGTGTAGGGGTTGTGATGTTGTTGTGGGGTGTGGGGGGTTGTGGGGGTGGGGTTGTTGTGGAGGTGGGGCTGTTGTGTAGGGGTTGTTGTGGGGTGTGGGGGAGGTGTGGATGTGTGGGGCTGTTGTTGGTGAGGTCAGGTGGGTTGCTGTGGGTGTGTGGGCCATGTGGGGTAAGTGTATGTTGTTGTGGGAGTGTGGGGTTGTTGTGGAAGGTGGGGTTGTTGTGGGGGGTGTGGGGTTGTTGTGGGGAGTGTGGGGTTGTTGTGGGGAGTGTGGGGTTGTTGTGGGAAGTGTGGGGTTGTTGTGGGAGGTGTGGGCTAATGTAGGGATGTTTCCCGCTTCAGACAAGAGTCGTTGTTGGGGTTTAGAGAAGCTTTAGTAAATACCTTTATATAACCCCCAGGTGTTACAGGTGTGTTGTTATGTGATGCAGGTGTGTTATGTGTTGCAGGTGTGTTGTTATGTGATGCAGGTGTGTTATGTGTTGCAGGTGTGTTGTCATGTCAGTTAGAACACAAATTTCATTAGATGTTGAAAATACCACATGTAGCTCACGAGGGAGGCTGGTGGAAGTGTTAAGATGTGACTCTGGTTGACAAAGGTGTACTTCACGAGGGAGGCTGGTGGAAGTGTTAAGATGTGACTGACAACCAGGTGAGAGAGCCAGGAACCAGGTGAGAGGGCCAGGAACAAGGTGAGAGTGCCAGGAACCAGGTGAGAGGGCCAGGAACCAGGTGAGAGGGCCAGGAACCAGGTGAGAGGGCCAGGAACCAGGTGAGAGGGTCAGGAACCAGGTGAGAGGGCCAGGAACCAGGTGAGAGGGCCAGGCTGTAGTACTGGGGCCTTCAGATAAACAGAGTGGTCTAAATAGTGAGAGGATTACATTTCAGACATATGCCTTCGCCGCAACAATGTCTAGAACCAATACAGCAACGCAGGTAAAGTTGTCTGAGAAACCCAATCGTATTATATATTTCTTGACTAAGGACACAGCTCACGTACTGTAATTAACCACAATTGTACTTAATTATCTATGATTACAACGTTAATTGAAACTCTCGAAGCACTATATGAGTTTACTACCAGCA